AATGAGACCTAAAGTCACCAAAGACACTCCTGAATTCTATGCTGAATTGATGAAAAAATGTTGGGATCCAAATCCAGAAAATAGACCAACTGCTGAAGAAATTCTTGGTTATTTCAAAAAATATTATTATTATAAGCCTTCTAAAAAAAATAAAAAAATCATCAAATTAGCAGAATCAAAACACCAAGAGATAATTAAATCAGAAAAATATCTTTCAGAAGCAAAGAATTATAAACACCATTCGGATGCATTCTATACAAGTCGCTCACTTAGTAAGTTAATTGAGCAGGCTAATAATAAATTGGCTACTATATCAATGGATGTTGATGATGATGATTCATCAAATAAAAAAATTCAACCAAATATTTTAATTAAATATAATCTTAATAGTAATGCTTCAGTATTTATGCCAATACATATGATTAATAATGGCAGTGATTATAATGTAGATGTTGAAGATTATATTGATTGTAGTAATGATAAAAAGAAATCAAAAAAAAATTTTTAAATTTTTAAAATATAGTGTATTTATTTTTATTTTTTTTTCAATAAATTTTATCACTCAATATATAATTTGTTATTTACATGTCTCATTATCTTTTAAAAAGTGCATTCTCTACAATTAAATAATAAATAAAATGAGATTCGTGTGAAGGCTTATTAATTAATTGTAAAAATACTCTGCCATTTTTTTTTGTAAAAGTTTGATTTTTATATTAAAATATTTATTTTTTTCTTAATCACAAATTAAATCAATTCCCCAGCTTTTTTTTCATCATTACCAGTCACCAAGGCGAAATGGACTTGATGTTTTCCTTCAAGTATTATTTTAACATTTTCATATAAGGCTCAAAAGTTTAATTGATAAAAAGTATGTCTATTTTTGCTTGTAAGCATGCATCGATCAACTCATAAGAATAAAATTTTATTATTTTTTCAATAACAAATCAATTAGTAGAAGTGATGACTTGGGTCTCAAGAGGTTCTATACCATATTAAATCTCATTTATAAACGGACCGTCAATTCACAAATTCGCTTATTATTAGTAAAAACAATAGTTGTAGAAAAATCTCATAGAAAGTTATTATATTGACACAAACTAAACTCCTTCATTATCATCACTATTACAACCATTAGTATTATCGCCAACAAAAAAAAAAATCTTTTTTGAAAGAAATAATTAATACTATACACATTAAAAAAGGTCTTTCCAGCAACAACATTTTTAAAAAATTTCCCAAGAGAGAGATTATTTATTTTAGTAACCCATCAAAATCCAAAATTTACACCAGAGCTGATTTTCTATGCATACGCAATTATATTTTTTCTTAAATTAATTTCAAATTAAAAAAACCGATTTGATATGATATACAGGAGCATCAAGTCTTTATAACGATGAACAAGGACCTATATATTCGACGCATTAGGAACTATTGATGAATTAAATTCTAGTATATGGTAATTATAAAGAGGGTGGTGGGTGTGGGAAATTAATTAATTAACTAGTAATTATTTTAAAAACAATTTAGGCAAATTTGTATTTTAAAAAGCAGCAAACTCACTAGTAGAAAATTTAATTGATATATATACACAAATGTAAATTGATTCAAGTTATGCCAAATGTAACATCACCAAGAAGCAATTCAAATGGTTCCAAAATAAGTTAAATGGGAAAGTCGTAAATATTTTGGAGCTAACAGAACAAATAAATAATAATGATACATCATTTGAAGATGAAAATTAAATCTTTTATTGATAAATATGATTCCATAATTATCAATACTTGTACAGTGTATGGCATGTATATGCTTAATTTCATTATTCATGTTAATATTCAGTGCTCAAAAGAGAAATATAATGATACATCCTTTTGAATGTAATCAAATAATGCATGACATTTATTCAAGTCTAGTTAAACCTAGACAACCAAATTACATTGCACCAATATATATAATGCAGACATGTCATGATGTCTCTGCATTTAAAATAACAAAAATTGCGAACCATTTTGTACCATGCTTTTTAAAGGTATAATTATTTTATTTAATTCAAAATTTTAATTAAACTAAAAATTTAATAATTATTTTTTATTTACATATATAGATTTTAATGAATGAACAAAGTGAACACATAGTCGAAGAACCAATTGAATATGATATTAATTCAGAAGATCTGTTAAAAGGAGTATTAATGGAGCCCCTTTCAATCTGGACCCAGATTTAAAAAGTCCAGCTGTAATTTGGGCAAGGAATAAAAATATTTTGGGAAATTTGAATAAGAAAAATTTGGATTTATTATTGAGTGCAACTAATGAATTAATTAGCCAGCCAGATATCAAAGGACTAGAATGAGTGATTAATAGCTGGAAAAAATATTTTGATCAAACTAAAAATGATATAACAATTATAAGTGATGATGATTCCGATTCAACAATAAAAGGTGATGATGATGAATTTGATAGTTTGAAAAGCTTGAAAGAACAAAGAAATTAATCAAGAAAAAAATAAAAAAATGGTAATTACCACTTATTTTACATAAATTATAATGGATTATTTCTTATTACCAAATTTTTATTTTTATTGATTTTTTTTAGATTGTTAAATTCACTAAAAAACAATTTAAAAGAAAAAAAGATAGTTCATTAATTAAAAACAACATTAATCCAGCCAAACACAATCAATTAATTGGTCTGCTGACAAACATTGATCCTAATAAAGAACCAAAAGCAACTAAAATTGATGGGGGGTTGATTTATGAACCATGTGAAAATTTTGAATTTTTCATTACTCGTGAAGAAATATTAGAAAAACTACAATTGGAAATTAGCAGAAGAATATACATCAGATATTAAAAATATTTTATTAAACCAATAATCATTTCCACCACAAATAACACCATCAATAAGGAAAACACATCCTAATTTTAAAGTGGACTTATACTATGGTGAATGTACAGGAAATAGAAATGACAAAACATCCTTTAATGCTCGAATAAATATACTAGATCTTGAGTCTATAAATTTGCAAGTAAAATCAAAGTTGTTTTTCCAAAAAGAAAAACATTTGTAAAAATTCAGAAGGAAAAGGTATGGGCAATTACGTGGATTAAATAGAAAAAAATTTATAAACAAGAATCAAAGTAAAGAAGCACGTCATATGCATTGACAAAACATTAATATTAAGCCTGAACAAAGATTAACTGGAAACAGACATAACGTACCTTCTGCATATGCATCTAGAACATTAAAGTCACAATCTAATTTAAAAAATCCACAGGTTGGAGGAGTTATGGAAAGACTACTATTTGCTGTAATTGATATTAATGAAAAAGAAAAAGAAAATTATACAAATAGTAATGGAAAGGAAGCAAGTGATAACAGAAAATATGGGGGCACGTATAACAACCTTTGACTATTTGGCCATTGAGTGTGTTGCTTTTTAATGAAGCATCCATTACTTACTATCATATTTTTGCTCCATTAATCCTGGCATATTCATTGATTATGCTGGGCAATTAGTAAAGTGAGTAAATTTATTAATTTATTTGATTTTTTATAAATATTAATAATTAATTAATTTATAAAAAAATCAGGGTTGTCTCAGAATATCTACTTACAAATATAAACACATCCTGAATGCAATGATTACAATGACTTCTGGTGAAGGAGAGAATTCACCAATTATCAATATATTTGAATTGATAACGAATGATCTAAAGGCTTCTAATTTAGAAAGATATTTAAAAACATTCCATCAGACAAAATTAAAAATTTTTGGCAGCAATACAATCCCATACCTAGCTGTGCTAAAAATATTATAATGGCAGTGCTTGCTGCTTATAATAATGAAACACCAAACATATATTGAAAGAAATATTAATTCTTTAAGAAAAAATAAAGAATTAGATCCAGGAACAACAATCCTGGCTTGGTGTTTTGGTCATTGTGTAAGGACAGTAATTAGATATTCAAAATCAAACATTAATAGCCAATATATTAAAAAAAGTTGAATTATTCAATGTCATTGTTAAGTTATGGAATTCAATGAGATTGAGTGAAAGCTTAATAGAAATTGAAAAAAGATATTATTTTGGAATTGGCTATTATCCCAAGAAAAGATTAAATTGGGATCAATATGGATTAAATTAGATTCCGAATTTAAATTTTATAATGATTTAGATGTGATTATTGATGCAAATGAGGCAAATGATTTCATTAAAGATATAGATAATGAATTAAATGATACAGGAATTCTAGAAAATAAGACAAAATAGAAGATTTAATTGATGATAAATTTACTTATTGTTTAGATACTTGTATTAAATTAAATGTTAGAGAAATGGATGATTGTTTCAAAATATTTATTCCATTAATTAATTACGAATTGACAACAAAAGAAAACCAATAATCTTGGTGAGGATGGCTATGTATATGTATAATCCATTGTATAATCCACAATTAAGAAAATACCTTGATAATTAATACTTGGTGGAAGTCTGAGTCTTTTGGTCAAATTTAATTCCTGCAATTAAAGTTAGGACCCGAAGAACAACAGCAACTGTAGAGGTGGAAAATAATATAATTAAGTCATATGGCATCAAGAAGAGAAATCTTTGATATTGATGAATATTTATATCAATGTATTTCACAACAATCAAAGCTGGTTGCAGAAAAATAAAGTATTTATTTTCAATTATTTTTTATGTATCATCACACATGCATACAGTATAACCCTCGTTTCAACAGAGTGGCTGGACATATAAGAAAATTTCATTTAAAATCCATTGAACGAAATTACTAATTGCGTTTCAACGGATTTTTATGTTTTTCATAATCAATTAGTATTAGTATTAGTATATTTTACAATTTTTTCCGTATCTTTTATAACAATCATTTCATAGTAATAGCAATAAAAATTATAATTCATACGGAATTTCCGTATGCAAATTTTTTATAGAGCTCGATTGTCTCTTCTTCGCCTATATCTTCTCTTTTTTCTGAAATTATCCCATATAAAAGTTTATAATTCACTTGAATAAAATATAATACTTCTTGCCTGTGCACCACTTCTACCAGCTCTTCCACTTTCTTGAATATATTGACCAAGGCTTAAGGGAAAGTTAAAGTTTATTATAAGGTTTACATCTGGTGTGTTAATTCCCATACCGAATGCATTTGTTGCTATAATTATTTTTGTCACTTTATTTTTCCATTTAGATAATGATTGATTTTTTTCTTCTGCTAAACCTCCATGAAATAGACCCACTTCATAATCATTAATTTTATTAGCAACATATGTTTTGAGTTCTTCACATTCTAGGTGATGTACAATATATTATACTTCTTTCATTGATATTTTTATTAATTTGTTCTAGTGTTCCATGTCGCAACCCAAAAAAGGAAACAAAATGGTTGTAAATCACACGAGTTGCTAGAGCAGTAGATTTGCAAATTGATTTTTTTCCCCATTTACTTTACAAATTGTGCAAAACATTCTCTTCATTGCTGCATCATATTTTGACCATTTATATATGTGAGCCATTCATGCTGAAAACTTCTTCCTGATTTTTAAAATGCACTTTTTTTATTTGATTTTTTCGAAGTATCATCATCATCCGAACCTTGAATTGTCAAATCACCTGACCTTCTATAACTGATTCATCATCTATAAATGCTTCATCCCAAATTTCAGTAGTCAAATTATCTGATTCTTGTTCTATACTATTTATTTTTTTGAATAAGGGAAAACAAATATACATAAATTCATATTTAAAGTGTATATATTTTAAATTTAATAATTTAATAGCAGTGAAATAAGATTTAAATTGAGTCAATACTTTTTTCCTGAAAATTCAAAAGATACAAGTTATGATTCTTTTCTAAAATATTGAAGTAATACACATATACTCTATGTATATATATTTAGTATAAAATTTTTTTTTTGCGAATGGAAAAATCTGTACAAAAATAAAAAGGAAAAATATCCGGCAACTCTTTTTTTTTTCAGAAGTTAAAGTTTTTTAAAGGAAAACCCGGATTTTTAAAGTACTATTTCCAGCCCTGGTTGGATTCTTTCTGCTGAATGAAAATTCAATCGTATTTATAAAATTTTTTGAACAATATACAGCCATCTGTCTCAGGCCATTTTTAATATATCGATTAGAAATAACAATTACATATCACCTTTTGCTTTCTACATTATGTATAGAGATAATGAAATAGTTTTCAAGGATTTATAAACAAAGAATTGTCTATGTTCTCACTTCTACATAATAATCCCCTCAGTTATATATGGGCTAGAATCTAGTCAAAGGAAGATTCTATTTGGTTGTTTTAAAAGAAACTTGGTTATATACAAAGGAGAGATTAATGAATCACAATTATTCGACCATATTTCTGAACATGCCAGATGCCACCATAACATGATTGGGATTTTTTAGGTTCTAATAATGTTAATTTACTAAAACCTATTAGACAGTTGGAAAAAGAAATGACGTGGTTAAGATACCGCTAAAATCACATTACAATTGTACCAAGCTTTCGCCATTTACAACATTAATATATCGCCCAGATGATGATATATTAATTGACTATTTAAACGAAGATGATCAAAAAATTCGAACTAAAATGGTATGCTCTTTATCATTTCAATGGTCTTGGTTGGCTGCGAGAAAAGTATGGGAACATGTTTATATGATGTATCAAGGGTATATTACGACCATCGTATCACCATTATTTTTCCTCCTCGAGTTCTGAATAACGTCTCTTGAGTAATGCTAATGGTATAATTGCTAAATAATTGAATTACCAGTTCGTAAATGACATTGAATTGAATTTGTGCTATTTTAGAATAACAGAAAATAGAAAGGAACAAATGTAAAAATCTTCTGGTTAGCATCACAAAATTATTCTTCTTTCCTTGACACTCACTCGATTTTATATCGTATTTTGCCGGGAACAAGCAACCTTTTATAAATTAATAAACAAACTAAAAATGTTAAGATTATTTTTACCATTTATACAAATATGAGGTGCAGCAATTTTGATTAGATCACCAGAGAATTTTTAATTTGAATTTCTAAAAAATGGATATTGATGATGATTAATAAATAAATAAATAATGCAACTTATTAGATGAATCATTTTGACACATTAAAATATTAGAATCAGAAGATAGTTTAAAAAAGAAAAATATGGATATGAAAAGGAAAATATTAGTCAATGAATTAGGTTATAAATTAAAAAAAATTATACTATGAGATGATTGCAAAGAAAAAATTAACTTGTAAATGTGGAAATAAAGAAATATATTTTTTATGAACATAAAAAGCATACATATTATAGTGATAATATATACCGGATTCCATAAATGAATTTTATAATATCAACCATTTAGCTAAAGGTGGTTTTCGAAAAATCCATAAAGCAATATGAACCAACACATTTAGTGGAATGAAAAATGTTGTATTAAAAGATTATATAATTCTAGCAATAAATTTCTAAAAGAGGTAACCTTTTAATTTGGTATAGTATGACATCTATTATGATTAAATGTTAAATATTAATAACAAATATTATTTTGTAATAATTTTTTAGTTAAAAAAAATCCAAATAGGACTAAAAAATGGAGATTTACATAATTATTTATCAAAAAAATTTAAAGAAATTACTTGAGAAAATAAAATTTATTCGCTTTATTATATTGCATATGGGTAAGTTTAGTACTTTATTATTAGATACATTATTATTATTTATAAATATATCTAGTAAATTTATTATTTATTTTATTATCAACATAAATGAAATTCATATGAATAATTACATTCATCATGACTTGCACAGTGGTAATATAATCATTTGATTAGTACTATAGGAGATCTGGGATTATGATGAATGAAAAAGATAACAAAATAAAATCTTTGGAGTAATTCCATACCTGACATCTGAAATATTATCAAGAAAACCATATACAAAGAAGCCACTTTATGTCAGGCTACATAATCATTGTATTATATCAGATATTCTAAAAGAAGAGAGATCACAAATTACAGATGATACTCCTGTATTCTTTGCTGAATTGACGAAAAGACATTGGGGTTCTAATCCAAAAAATAGACCAGCAGCTAAAAAAATATGTAAATATTTTGGTCAATATTGTATTGATCCACCTGAAAAAAAAAATAAGTTAGCAGAAGCTAAATGACAAGAAATTTATAAAGTCAAAAATACTTTTAAACATTATCCAGAATCAGTCTATACTAATGATGATAATGATGATTAAGTTTAATTTTGATATAGCTTTTATGCATTTAATAGATGACTATGGCGAAACAACAATGGATTAGAAGATGTAATTTATTATTTATTTCTGTTGCTATATATTTTCATCATTTATTATATATTATTTATTATATTTTTAGATTATAACTAAATCAAAAAGACAGATTGTTTCGATTTTATACTATTTAATATATGTAATGTATATTAAAAGTCAGTTAAAATATTATCTACTTATGAACAACTATCATTCCATTGCTAACTAACGGATGTTCGGTCAATCAACCAGCAGCTTTGTTTGTTTTTCTGTTTAGCTAAAAAAATTTTTTTTAAGGCTTTGAATTTTTGTTTTTTGTTATTATTGCTATGTGTAATGAACTATTATTATAAAATTATATAAACATGTTTTATGCTAGTATCAGATGATAAATTTACATTGTATCAATTAATTGATTGGATTTATTTGGATGATGACGATTTATCATTTTGGTTAAAAAAAAAACAAAATATTTTAGAAAAGAAAAATCTTATGTGGCATTTATTTCAAATTGTATGTATATATATAACATTGTAATAAGTTGCCGTATTAGTTGATATTTGATATTTAATCGTTGTTATTTAGCAACAGTGGCAACGATGATGGCAATTTTCTAAATTATAATAAATGGCTACCACCAACATTATTATTATTATCATCATTATTATTATTATTATTATTATTATTATTATTATTATTATTACTATCATGACCATTATTATTGTAAAAATTGAGGCTATTATTGCGATTATTGAGGCTATTATCTTGAACCATTTCCTCATCCCCATCCCTATCCTCATTAACGTTACCATTCACTTCTCCATCATCTTCATCATCACCATCGTCATCGTCATCATCATCTACATCATCATCATCTACATCACGCATTGCTAAATCTTCACTATCTTCCTCATCTACATCCTCAACATCATCATCGTCGTCGTCGTCTTCTTCCTCTTCCTCATATGTAGATTCATCATCATCTTGAACATCATCCGCTGTTTGTTCATCATACTATATGTAAATGATAAATATTGACATAGATGGATGTATAGATGGATGTATAGATTAATTGAAATTTGGAAAAAAAAAGAAAAATAAATAAACATACTGGATCATCTTCACAAGCTTTAATTCTATATTTTCCAGGAATAGGTAATCTCTTTCCTCTATCTTTTATCGCTTTTAACTTTTTATTTTATCCGATTTATTATTGTTTTTAAAAGTAAAAAATACAATATTGTCGTTCATTAAGCGTACCGATAAATAAATAAATCGATAAATCAATCATAATGAATAATAAAATCTACACAAACTTGTGCTTCATATTCGTCTTCTTCTTTACCTATACTAACACATTCATTTATTATAGCATGTTTATATGCCCAGGAATTTATTATTGTACGTGGCTCAAGCGAAGGTGCCCAAAGATGTGATGAAGTCATTATTTTAAAAATTTTTTTGGATATAATTATAATTTAGATAATAATAAAGAGAAAGAGAATTATTTATGCCATACTTAATACACTGCAACAAAGTGAACATTTTGTAGTACAAGGAATTTCAGGGTTCAAATGAGGCAAAGTATGTACTAATTATTATTTTCTAAATCCAAATAATGCGTTCAAGAACATCTTTTTTAAACGTTAGCTTCAAGAATATGGACAAAAAAATATAAATAGATAAAGGAATTATGGTAAAATTCAAATAAAAATTTTTTATTAATAATATAAATAATATCAAAATCATAGCCATATATAATCCGTGAAATCAAAAAACTAATTTAAGAAATAAAACCGCAAATATCGTCTTTAAATTATCATCTTTTCAATAACTCACTATAATAAATATAAAAAAAAATTTTTAAGAAAAATGCTTACCTTCACCACTGAATTTATATATGGCTTATTAATTGGTCTTTTCCTTGATGTTTTTCCTCATTATAAAAATTACAACCACTCTTTAATATAAAACAAAAAAATTGATATGAAATAGAACATGGAAAGGTATAGTCCAAATAAACCAGTTGATGAAAAGAAAAACACCTGAAAAAAATTGAAGGATTTCAAGCAATTATTCGATAAAACACAGGATTGAATCCAGACTTCTCATTCAGTAAAATGGCCATTAAAATTCGCGAGTTACTTGGAGATGTAAAAGGTGTTGCTGCTTCTACGATAAAAAACCTCTACTGATGAAACTAATTCTAAGAAAAAAGAACAATAGATGATGCAATTCAGGAATGGGTTGACAAAAGAAAAGAACAAAGAAATGAAAATTGAAGATTTTAATTATTTAATTGATGATAATAATAATAATAATAAATATAGTGATAGTAAAAGAATGCCCATGGATTTAATATGCCACTCAGTTACAGAATTTCTCTCTTTGGAGGAAATAATAATCAATGTGTTGCATATCTCCAATTTCATAATCATAAAATCCAAAGAATTTACTTCATTTCTCCGTTATTACTTTATATTGCACTTATACTTTAATAAATAAACAACTAAATATTTATGCTATCAAGGCTTTCTCTTAGAATTGTATATTTCAAAGGATGATGAATTGTCATTCGCAGAATATTATTTTACAAAATATCATTTCCTCGTCAAAAGGTCTGAAATCATCAATGTAAATATACGTAAGATCCCAAAGACTTTCTATCCTGTCACCCACCAATTGTTCTGTGAAAAAATAATTGATATCATACAATATCGGACGAACAATTTGCGACTAATGAATAGCTTGGGTAAAAATGAGAATTGTATTTATTTAAGCTAAACCCATCCGCCTACCAAATATGGCTTAATTCAGTCGCTATAAAAGACTGCTGATCATATGGATACTGCGGTCACACGATGAGAAACTTTTTGCGGAAATCATAAGTCATAATGTAGGATAGAAAAGTTTGAAAATTAACTAACTGAATTGAAGAAATTCAACTTCAGATTTGCACTCTTTAAATGCGCATATAAAGGGCAAGATTTCACACTAGCCTCGCTCCAACTATCTTGGTATCCTTCGACTTGATCTTGTAATAACAATATAATCATAATCAATTAATAAACTAATACATACTTACAAAATGCCTGATAAAAATCCTTACATATACTATCCTGAAATTGGTATCTCTGATAATTTGAGTTAGACGGTCCACTAGTCCCTACTACAGTCAAACTTTATCACAACGGATGAAAGGGACACATAAAAAAATTTTAAAAATCAATCCGTAATGACATGAATTTAATTATTATTATAGCCCGCTTTGACGAGGCCCTCTGTGACAAGGTTTGACTGTACCAAACCATATATGTATCTATCTATTTATTTTTTACCTAGATTATCTTATTTTATTTTTCTTTTATTTCCTATTTTTATTTTTATCTCCCTTGTTTAACTAGCACACTGTGCCTCGAGTTAGTGCATCCCAATTTGGATAATACTGTTTATTAGATTGTAACTATTTAGGTGACTTGGCTAGCCAATGAACAAATCCTAAGTAGTGTTCAGGTGACCAATATACAAATCCTGAAGAATAGTATAATAGATTTAGCTGAGCTTTGGCTTTAGTTTAGTTCAGTTCGGCCTTTATAGAATCTGATTACTACTCACGCAAGGTGATTAATACATTTACCCTTTCTTAAGAATGACGGCTCTACCTGCTCCAAAGTTTGCATGCGCCCTGAGGGTGCCAGGATCATTGAAAGACCAAAAAATGCACTCCATGTGTTTCTTGTGGTAAACCTACTGCTTAAATATATGATTTGTGCCAGTTTTATACTGGAACAGCTATTACTATGTCATGAAGTAATATAATTCTGATTGTCGCCTCCGCCTATGTGCTGACTCTTAAAAATTCGACTTGCCTCCGCCTGAAAAAAATGCCAGATATTTTTGCACCAAAATTCAGCTCTTCTCCTCTTGACGCGTGGATTTCAAAATTTGGGTACCAAAACTCCGGCTTGTCTCTTGAGCAAATGGTACCATATATCTTGAAGCAATAGCACCAAAATTTTTCTGCAAATATCAAGATTCGACTCGTCTCTTGAGCAAAGGGCACCAAAATTTTTCAGTGAATCCAATTTTTTGGTTGGATTCGGGTATATTGCCTATAGATCCGGGTGCCACTATTTAATGGATCCGTTTATTACAAATTTAAGAAGAGGTTCAGTTTCATAAGAAATCAATGAGTCATGATGGTCAAGGCCTTTATACGATATTCGAATGAATAAAGGTTTAAAGTGGTTGGTTTTAATGCATATGGTTTTTGTTTTTTTGTTGATAAGGTTTGTGGTCAGCGAAACTTATGCTTATTTCATGGCATTCCTCTTAATATTATGTCTGTTTCTTGTATTCAGTGTTGGCAGTGGTGTTAAAATTTGGGGTAGAGAAGAACGACGATAGATTATTTATATGCGAACAGATATATATATATATTGATAATTTGGACAAATTTATTTAACCATTAATAATAGTAACAAATAATAATAATTTTATAAATTAATTTCATATCAATTATAATTTAATAATAGTTATTGTTATTTTATCAAGTTTTGTAATCCTATCACTTAAATTTTCATCAAAATAGTTATTTATTGTTTTAATAATTTTTTTATCGTAGGATTGACTCCATTTTCATGGAATTTTTTTATAATAGTTTTAACTACATAACTATTTTATAGTCCCATTAAAAGATTCATTATCCAATGGAACTTCATCAATTGACATTTGATGAACTACTTACTATTAAAGCTTCATCATAATGATCTTTATATAATAAATATACATACGTTTACATACATCTTGTGATTTCATTAAAGCAACTCCGTAATTATTTAATTTAAGATCTAAATCAATTTTAGTTGACGATTTGATTGATAATTTCCTTAAATATTGCAAACCTTAAGCTTAAGAAGGTTGTCGGTCCAATTCCCAAGACCATTATTTGATCAATTTCTGGTAGAAAAAATAAAACAATCAAATGCCATCAATTTACCACACATTACATCAATTAATAAATGTACCATAACCTTTAAAACCATAATGATTTTCTTATGGAATTATAAATTGAATTCACCAAATTGTCTGTTGTTGTGAAAGCAAGATCTAAATCTAATTTACTCGCACATCCAATTATCAATGATAAATAAGTATAAACATCTGGTTTGATGTTTTCTTGTATCATATTGTTATACACCGAATAAGCATTACCAATTCTCATAGCATTAATAGTAGTCTTTACTGAATTGTCTAATCTATCGAATAGATTTTCTGCAACTTGTAAACATCATCGACTGTATATTGCTCGAAAGAAGGAATATCAATCCTTTGTTTATTGTATTGTCTAAAGATGATGATGATATTAATGATGATGACGATGATAGTTATGAATATTTATTATTAATCTTGAACAAAACTTTTAATGCCTCTAATACATTAGATTCGTTTGGTGATTTGTATTTATAAATAATCCATTAATTATATTTCTAAGTTGAGTCACGTTATTATATTTTTTTAATAGTAATCTTATAGTTATTATTATTATTTGCAGTTTTATATGTCATGCTTTGTGTATACAATCAAATAAGTTTAATGTTGAATGCGTTGAATGGTAATATTGAAGAAAATTTTCAGTTTTAACACAACAATTGATATTAGTATTAATATTCTTTGACTCAATTCGACAAGCTTTCCATTGATTCAATAGCTTTATTGTTGCTGCTATTGGGATTGATAAAGCATTCTTATTATTACTACTACTGTTAATATTATTTAGAAAATTGAAAACAAAGCTATTTTTTCTATTTAAAAAAATATTTTGGGAAAATTCATCTTTATTACAATAAAATAAAATTATCGGATTTGTACCGTGCACATTTTTTTGTCAAATACAATAATTTAATTTAAAATTAATTTTTTTAATGTTACCACACCACCATTATATTTCTCTATTTTAATAAACTAATGCTATTATAACAACTGTTATATATAGTTGATTTTAGTTTAAGTTTTAATTTTATTGACAAGTGCCTGTAAATTATAAACAAATTATTAATTTGATCGATTGATTGACATTCAGAGAATAAATAATAAATAAATTGGTATATAACTTACATTTCGGATTGTTATTTACAAAAGAAAAATCAAAATCCTTAAATGCACATGTCACGTCTCTGCATTGTATAGCTTCTTTCAAAGGACTCGCCGAAAGAGTTTGATTAGCATTCGATATAGCTGATGGTGGTGATGATTGAGCGATTAAATCTGTTATAGTTTTATCAATAGGTGGGAGTTTTGAAACGGGGCTTCCTCCTTTTATAGTCGGATAAATTCTAACATTGAAAATTGTATAGCTCAAAAGAACAGACATAAAGCCCGCTGCAATAATCAAAGAGGTAATTACAATAGAAAAACGCCAAAATGTTTTGTTCATTTTTTATTTTTAGTGTGTTTATATTTAAAAAAGAATGGTTTAGTTTTTTGTTTATATTTTAATTATTTATTAATTGCAAAATGGTATTTAGTGATAATAAATTAAGGGATGGTTGATGGCTAATTTATTAGTAGAAAATGTGTGAATAGTGGCGAGAAGGAAAATAAATGATCATTATGAAAAAAAGCGTGAATTAAAATATCATTTTTTTATACTCTATTGCATTTCCACGTAATAGCTAAATTTGGATAATTAAATTCAATCAATTAACTAATTAATTAATTAAACTCGATATATTAAAGCTTGAATACATACATTCATTCATAAATTTCTGTACATCCATTTCGAAATGTAAAATATTGCCAATTTTAGCTAATTGATTTAATCTGGAACAAATAATTAATCGTTTTTTTTTTTTAAAAGAACAACCAATGAAATTCCTTTCATCTTCGCAATGGATTTAATTAGGATATTAATATACATTACTAACAAGATAAAGTTAACTTCTAATGATTGTAAACATTTTAAAATAAGATCTTGAAATAATTACCCGTTCATATATAATTCGGGTTTAGTTCTTACTACTGCTTCTGGGACTTCCGCTAAACACACAAAAGTTGTTGTAGCACCATTATTTAATACTGAGCCTATTAAATAGATTCAACTATAAACGCTATAAAAACTATTAACGGTGTAAATCTTTCATCAACATTGAACCTTAGTGTAAATATAATGGTCTAAATAATGCAGTGAGCAACCCTGCTAAAAATGCACTTTTTGAAAATTAATTTTTTTTGGTCAATTCTAAATCTTCGTTTCATTTCATTTATAATAAAAAAAAGATAGTTTCAATTTTTACCCATCAACACAACATTGTTAATCAAGCTATCGTTGGTAATAGCTTCTACGCCACGATATAAAATTAGACTCCATGTATCCTACGAACGTTATTTAATAAAAGCATTTTTTTTTAAAAAAAAAACGCAAAATAAAAATATTACGAGTTACTTGGGGAAAAAAACTCACTTTGGCAGCTCCAAAAAACGACTTCCATAAACAGCTACTTGTAAATAAGCATAAAAATTAAATATACTATAAATTTTATTAGTGATAAAATTACATAATGTACTCAGGATATCTTTGCTTTCAAATAGCTTACGTCATTAGCAAATATGTTTAGTGTGCATGAAAACGACCTGTAATCCTCGTACTTAGGTCTCAAAAAAGCATACGTAAGCTTCGGGAGGCTCTCGATTTACTCGGCTTATAAGGCAAGAATTGTGGAGAGATGTGGGTAACCTATATATCTTCGCATATGACGAGAAATTTGTATCATGCCACACGCAAACTAAGGATATCTAGACGCTCGAGATTATCAAACTAGATAGCTACTAGGCGGCATGCTCGAGTGTGGCCTAAAAAATGAAATGTGCCACTTTCGAGCGTGGCCTAAATCGATTTTGCCTCGGACTCCCATTTCTACTCTACTTACTGAATGAATCAATTCAGCAAGCTGAATCATTCAGCAGAATTAGATCGATGGATAGCAATATTCATAAACATTAGTTGTAATTTGGTAAATATTCCAATACATTTAATAGGTAAAGTGGAAAGATGATTTATTGTTATTAATATTATGTATATTATTTATAAAAAAACTTTCTAAAAATGTTGTTTGACACAAATATTTGTTTTATGCTGTGCAACTATTATTATTATTATAATTTGACTGTGTTGCAACACCAAATTATTTTTTCCATTTCCAAAAAATTTGAGAAATGGATGCTGATATAAATACATTATACAGCTCATTAGATGAATCATTCGGCATGATAATGTCACTAGTGCCAGTAACTGAATTTGGTGGATATGATAAACTAGTCAGTTATCAAAAACACATTAGTACTATATTTAATGAATTAATTGATTCATTAGAATTAATGGATGACTGTATCAATTGCAAAGAATTAATGGGAAAAAATTATTCTAGTTTTTTTATGAATCAATAAATGAATAAAAAAATCTAGATCATCAATAACTAAGTGGTGTTTAGATCCAGGTAAAGCCTATGAATTAAGTAGAGTATTTATTAGTATTGATGAAAAAAATTTATTATGTGATGGTTGTAAAGAAAAAAAAATTGAAATATTAACTGATAAATGTGGAAATAAAGAAATAGCAAGATTTTTTTATGAATGTAAACAAGATCCACAATATTCTAAAAATATATTTTGGATTCCATATAATGAATTTAATAATATTGAATACTTGGCTAAAGGTGGTTTCGGAGAAGTTTATAAAGCAACATGGTTTAGCAATATTTTTTTTAGGCCAATGGATGTTGTATTAAAAAGATTATATAATTCTAATAATAATATTTCAGATATTTTAAAAGAGGTAAAATTTTTAATATATCAATCTTGTATAATATCTATTATTAAATATATTTTATAATAATTTTTTTTAGTTAAAAGCACATGATGAACTTAAATTGTGGGTTAGCCATTGTTATGGAATTACTAAAGATCCTAAAGAGAATGATTATCTTTTGGTATTTCTCTATGCTAGGTATGGTGATTTGCATAATCATTTATCAAAACATAAACATTTCAAAGAATTTGATTGGTATAAGAAATGTTATTCACTAGGTAAAATTACAAGGGGGTAAGTTTTTAAATTTTATTATTAGACTTAATTGTTTATATATAATAAAATATTATTTTTTTTGTTACCAATATGAATTAGATTATGGGATATTCATGAAAAAAATTACATTCATCATGACCTTCACAGTGGCAATATTTTTTCATACAGTATTGGTAATGACAGGATAGGAGATTTAGGATTATGTCAACAAATGATGAATGAAAAAGATAAACCAAATAAAATTTTTGGGGTTATTCCATACCTAGCACCTGAAGTATTGTCAAGAAAACCATATACAAAAGAATCAGACATTTACAGTTTTGGTATGATAATGTGGGAGTTCACTACAGGAAAGAAACCATTCTATGATAGACCACATAATCATTGTCTTATATCAGATATTTTAAAAGGAGTGAGACCTCAAATCACAGATGACACTCCTGAATTCTATGCTGAATTGATGAAAAGATGTTGGGATCCAAATCCAAAAAATAGACCAACTGCTAAAGAAATTACAAAATGTTTAAATAGTGCAGAAAACAAAAAAGAAATGGAATTAGCAGATGCTAAACAAGAAGAAATTATCGAATCAGAAAAATATTTATCAGACACAGAGAATTATAAACACCATCCAGAATCAGTTTATACAAGCCGTCTACTAAATGAATTAATCCAACAAGCTGAATCATTATGCCTTTCATCAACAGTATAGTAATAGTGATATTAGCTCAAAATTTAGTGATTTGGTAATAGCTGATGATAATGACAGCAATAGTGGTGGTGGTGGTGGTGGTGAATTGTAATAGAGAGATGATTTATTATTGTTGTTGTTGTTGTTGCTATTATCAGTTATATATATTATTTATTATTCATTCTTCAAAATTTTTTTTGATCATTATATATATTTATAAGAAATAAAAATAACTTATAAATATGAATTTATATGAATTCAATGGGATTATGATTCAGAAGAAGGTCTTCCTGACGGTCAAATTCTTTACAAAGGTGATTGATTTCAATTTTCAATATTACCTTCATTTAAAATCAAAAAATTGGCTTGTGTATGGCTCAATTATAATAAAAAACATAGATGGGTTGTGACCTTCTTAATAAATTTATATGTAAGCCTGACTTGGCTTGTTGAAAGTTTTACTTTCAAAATTTTGGTACAAGATTGTTAAATGAAGTAACAGACAGAATTAGATTCCAAGATAAATCTTTTTTATTTTTTATTCTATAATGTCTTGTACCTTAGATTCATAATAATAATAATAATAATCAGTATCAAATTCACCACATAATAAACAAATAATAAATGTTTTAAATATGTTAGAAATTGTGAAAAAGTTGACATTTTTAAAAATGCAAGAAATTTACTGCCAATCAGGGTTGGCTGCATAACTCAAATAAGCACTTGGCTAAACTGACTAAACTATTTAGTCATATGTTTAGTCAAGATGATTGTTACTAAATTACGCTTTTAACCCCTTTACACTGCCAGCCCTGAGCCCAATGTATCTACCTCCTATATAATACTGTTATGACAATCAATATACAAATAATTATTTTAGCAAATGAGCATAATTTTATATCCAGCAAAATAACTTGTGACTCTTGTAACAGTTTGGGATATGCAAAAAAAGAAAAGAAAATTAAGTAAATTTGTTTCACTTTTTATACAATAACAATAAGATTAAAAATAAAATTCAGTAGCTTACTCCCTACTTGAATCTTAAAGGATAGTCAAAATTCATATTCAATTGCATCATCAGCTGATAACTTGTTTATTCTATGGGCCAAAGGGCAAACACCTGGAATCTCCATTTGATGATGAGCCTTTTAGCAAAAAAAAAGAATGGAAATTGTGAAAACATGGTTAACAGATCCAAAAAAAAAATGAATGAAAATTCCCATACTATAGAGGAAACCTATGATGTCACCTGGAAAATTGCTAAACAATTTCTAAACAAGAACAAATTGTTCAGACTTCTAAAGTTTGCACCACCACATCCTACAATATAGGTGATAAGAGTACCTTGTGTTTGTCCAGGAATATTATTATGACAATTTAACACAGCAGTGTTGTTGAACCCATTATTATTAAGGTTTCTAGTTGAAACTGCTTCTATTAGTAGCCGAAATTGCCCAAATACTTTGGGCAAAAATTATTTTTTATAAGCCCAAACTACTTTTTGTTATTAGCCGAAATTATTTTAAAGTTGTTTAAGTTAAAACAAGTCGATTCATATAGTTTTTTAATGTTCATGCTTATAGAAAATGTTGAGAAGCCCAAATTGCCCAAACTAGTTTGAGCTTCAAGAAAACAGTTTGGACCAGAAACCTTAATTATTATCCTATTGGATGGGTTGGGTCATCAGCATTCGTTTGCTTTGTTTTGTAGGGGAACCGAGAGATCCAAAAATACTAAAGACATATGAGTAATTTAGTTTGTTCTTTTACACATTCAATGGTGATTTTGCCAATACTTACTTGCCCATTCCCATTTTTTTTCCACTTTTATTTGTTCATTAGTGATTTGCTTTGGGATCTACTTGTCCATAATTTTTTTAATACTTGATTTGGAAATTTTGAAAGAGAATATATTTTAAGTTTGCAAGAAGGGAAGATGGTTATCAATAAATCAGCTTAAATTTAAAAAAAAAAAATGGTATCAGTGGTTACAAATTACACTGCACAAAAATTTGACATAATACATAATAAAGCCACAATACATTCTATTCTTCAGACTATTCTCTGATTCAATGAATAAACTAAAAACTGATCTTTAATTTCTATAATTAATTTGATATCATCACTAATTACTTCATGAGATTTCATTTTTATCATTGGTCAACATTGTTTATGCTGCGCAATTATACTTGAACTGTGTTGCACACATCAAATGAATTTTTTTCCATTTCCCAAAAAAATTTGAAATGGATGATGATGATATAAGTCCTAGTTATAGGTTAGTTGATCAAAAATATCATGTTGGTTATGACGTCACGAAGTGACGGCATAATTAACAGGAT